TTGTCACAAACTTCTCAATCTCCTTCTTTAATCTACCAATAAAGCTCTTCACAATTTTATTTTTTTTTCTTAAAGCTTTATTATTCTCTCTTAGTAAGGCTCTTATTTCTTCAAACTCATGACATGATTATGCACAGTGGTGCTTTGCCTCAATTTATTAAATTAAGCAACTAAACTTTCTCTAGTATGATTCAGAAACCTTTCCAATACTAATGCAGAGAATTCAGCTCATGACAAATCGATATTCTCCTCAATATAGTTCACTAACCAACTGTCTGCTATTCCACCTAAATTCATACCAACAAGAATCAAACACTCAGTTATAAGCAAAATACCGAGTGCATTTCCTAAGCCACAACCTAGGTTATCTCAATTGATTTTGAAAACTCCAATCACAATTTATTATTGTATAAAGTGGAGTGAAGCTCGTTCAACCTAGTCATAGGAGTAGAAGATAGTATTCCCCCATTTCCCTAGGTTTAGCAGCAGAGTCAAGAGTGGTATGTGAAACATGATAACCTTAAGGTTCCTTACCTTTGAATGAAGGTCCAACTTGTTATTCCTTCGTAGAATGCAAAAATTGAGTTTTCAAAAGGTCTCCTAGACTCTCCAGCTTTGCATCCAGTTTAGATTCTAACAGCTTTCATTTGAATATGACCTTAGAATATAGCAGTTTGGTTGTCCACAACCTATGCCATCTTTTGTTCTCGAATATCCAACCATTGTGTTTGAAATCGCGTGTAATCAAAAGAGTAGCAAAAGTCGGCTCTTATACCATTACACCCTCTGCAATGGCGTGAATGAGATTAGAGAGCTCGGAGAAGAAAAAGACATGTCATTTGGTTAAATTTCTTATTTACTCATAATATTAGTTCAATACATGTATTATGCTATTTAAGTACATCATAAATTGCAAAATTAGAAAGAAAGAATTTACATGGTTTATGCTTTTATTAATACTTGCACTTCTCATCTTCTTCTTGACACCGAGCCAGAGAAGGTTTCTTATGTAAGGTGGTTTACGAGCTACCTCGAAGTGGCGATGACGGAACAAGCATTGATGCGACGGTAAAACAGCAACGGAAACGATGTCGGAGGAGATCGCATTCAATTTGAGGAGAAGGAAAAGTTGTACGCCCGCGGAATGGTTGTGAATCTTTCTCTTCTAATTGAAGTACCTTGTACGCCCGCAAAATGGTTGTGAATCTTTCACTTATAAGTGAAGTACCCTGTACGCCCGCGGAATGGTTGTGAATCTTTCACTTCTAAGTAAAGTACCTTGTACGCCCGCATAATGGTTGTGAATCTTTCACTTCTAAGTGAAGTACTCTTGTATTTATAATGTATCTATATCTGATAAAAAATTAACGCTTTTGTGTGTTTTAGTTTTTATTTTTAATAATTTCATTATGATTTTATTTATAATATTGAATTTTTGTGTTTACATAAAATTCTGGTTATTTACTATTTTCACAAATTTGATTTATTTAATATATATAATTATATTGATAAGTTTTTTATATGAGTGTTTTATTTTAATATACATATATTTATTGATATATATTTTTTATATATTTTATTTCTAATTTTGGGATTTTTTTAATTGGAATAATATTATTTATATTAATTTATTTATAGTTTCATTAAAAATAGATTTTTTAACTTTTTGTCGTGAGTTGGCAAGCTGAACAAAAGTATTTAGTACACCACATTATAATATTTGTATTTGTTACGAATAAATTATTAAAATAAAAAATAAAATAAAATATTGACCAATTACAATTTTATTATGACAAACTTCGTTATAAAAATTACATGTTCCACATCTATTGTTATGGTGAAAAACCCACTATAAATAGCATATTTTTTATTTTTTTAGTAGTGTCATCTTAGCATCATCATCTTCTCCATCCACCTCAATAAAAATCATATATATTTATATTTATATCAAAATTATTTATTTTTAAAATTAAACTTAAGTAAAAATATATGAACAATTATGTTATTATATAGAGAATCAAATTTTATTCTACTATTTAATGTTTACATATTTTTATTTTTGTCCGTTCAATTCAAATATTTATATATATTTTTTTTCTTTTTAGAAATTGTGGACTCTACCATTAAAGAATAATCTTTTTTACACTTATTTAACATTTCACTCTCAATTTATCATAAACGAAAAATAAAGATAATTTAATATTTACACTATTATATTTATTCATTATTATTAAAACATTAATATTTCTTAATTCGCATATAAAAAATAAATATAAATGTTACAGTCGAACAGAGAGTTAATAATATAAATTTATTATAAATATATAAAAAATTACAAATTAAATTTTCCGGTAGAAATCGAAAGAAATATATATATATTTTTAATATTTTTACACAATAATGCCATGTAGGAAGCCAGCTAAGAGCAGTTCCAATGGAAAAACTTTAAATTGCTTTCATCGCCTACATGGATTGTACTTGACCAAGCAATTTTTTGCAACTCCATCAAAATTAATTTGAGAAGTCATGCAGTGGCTCCATCTTCATTCCAAACAAATTCTTTACCAAAATCGACCAATAACTCTTCTCCGGCGCACCTTCAATTTCCGGTGACGGAAAAACTGTCCTCAGTAGATTCCGGTAACAGAAACTCTTGAAAAAGAAAAAATCGAAGAGTGTAAAAAAAAGGTTCCGAACAAGGAAAATTAGAAAACAGATTCAAGAGAACGAAATCTGGATAAGAAAAAGAAAACCTACAGCGAGGTTGTTGCTATCAGGGACGGAAGTACGTTAGGGCTTGAGGGTCAATTGACCCCCTCAAGCCAAATTTTTTATATTTTTTTTTAGTATTAAAAATATTAATTTTTATGTATTAATATAAATTTGTTCTCCCAAAATTATTTAAATTCATATCTAATTCTATCATTATTATTTATTTAAATTTATTAGTTAAATATTAAATAAATTATAATATTTTACCCCCCGAAATTTAGATGCTAGTTTCGTCACTGATTGCTGTTGGAAAAATACTTTCAAGCAAGGAAAATTTGAAAATAATTCATCAGAAGAAAAAATAACAGCCATAAGCTTTGAAGCCAGCTCCCATGCAGCTTCTTCTGCACAAGCCAAGGGGAAGTTCAATCGAAAAATTAGCATCTATTTTTGTTCCATTCCGTTGTGATTTGTCTCGAGTCTCAACAAAAGAATATAGAAAGAAAGAAAGAAAACAGGGAAAAAAATGTCATTGTAACTGCTTTTAAGAATGAGATGCTTCATGTATTCCTAGGGTATTAGGTTTGGGTCGAGGGTTTACCTAATATGAATTTTTGGATAGTAATTATACATTTTAAATTTTAAAATCTATAATTTTTTTAATATTAATTAAATTATTTAATTATTTTAATTTCAATATATAATTATATATATATATATATTATATTATAGTTATTTTTATTAATATATTTTTTAATTAATTACTGATAATAACTGACTTTCAATATCTACTGTGAACTTAATATCTTGGCGAAGTATCATTTTTTATTCTTACCTATTGGGATATATGAGAGTGTTATTATAATATCTATTTTATTATTTTTAAAATATTTGTAATATTGAATTTTTTGTTAAAATATTTTTTTATCTTATAAATATTTCATAAAAATACTATAATTTTATTGAAAATAATATACATCAGTTACAAAGAATATATCCTTTTAAGTTTTTATACTCCATTAGTTCCGTTTTATAATAGATTAAAAAATAATATTTTTGTTCCACTTACCGTGTTAATCTTTTTATTTTCGTCTGTCCAGCCATTTTGTCACTTTTTTTTTTATGAAAAAAATTATACTACTTTAATCTTATTTTTTATTTTTTAATTTTAATTAAATTAATTAGTTATCGTAGTATTAATATATAATTATTTTTATTATATAATAATTACTTTTACTGATATATTTTTTAATTATTACTAATTATATAATATTTAAAATTCCCTCCCTAAATGAGACAAATAATCTAGATATAAGAAATATATAATATTATATATTTATCAAAAATAGTAATTTTAAATAAAGTATTAGTTTTTATGTCATACAGTTTTACATATGAATAGAAATTTTATACATATTTATCAAAAATTATCCCTTAAGGGTGTATTTGTTTGGGGGTTGGAATTTTGAGTTGGGATTTGAATGGTAAAAATTTTAAATTTGAATAGTTGTATGATGTGATATAAATAAGTATTGATGTAATATTTTGAATGTAAAATTGATTTTTAGTATAATATAAAAAATAAAAAATAGGGGTTTGATTTGATTGTTTGAGAGAAAAAAATTTGATCAGCAGTGAATTTAAAATCCAATTCTCCAAACAAACACGCCGTAATTGAAAACAATAAAAAAAATATATATATACTCTTAAATTAAGTCAAAAATCCTTAAATCGAGAAAAACAAACATATTCCTTCTGTCTCACTCTAATATACTTATTTAAAGTATTGTAGTAAATTTAAAAATATTAATATTTTATTTGTTAGTAGAAATGTGAAAAAATTTAGATATATATAAAGTAATTATATGTATAATAGTATATTTATAATTTAAATAAAAATTAATAATATTTTAGTATTATTATATAATTATTTTTATTAAAATAAAAATAATAGACAAAAACAATAAAAAAAAGATACTTTAAAAATACAAAAAGTCTCGTGCAATTTTAAAGAAATTATGGACATAATTTTTTAAAACACAAAATACTTTGTGTATTTTCAAATCACTGAAAAATATGACGTTGATTTTTCAAATTATTTGTAAATTATAAATAATTTTACCTATTATTTATGACAACTATACATATTGTATATTTAATATAAAAAAGAAAAAAAAATTAGAACTATAAGTAATGAACACGCCCTAAGATTGAATAAAAACAAAAATACATATATATATAACATTTAAATATTATAAAAATCCTCCAAAACCTAAAGATGTTTTCTACTGAATCAATGTTGTTGGGGACATGGGAATTGCAAATGCACCTGGATATGGCGGCTGCAAATTTCACACTTGTCCCGCCGCCATAGCTCGTAGCACAACGTTCCTCTCGTCTTCTTCCACAAATGGCAACTTCCATGGCGCATCCTGCCTTTCCCAAGAGAAGCAGCAAGAACCTCTGCACGCTCTCCCTCCTCTCCCTCCTCCTGCTTTTCCTTTTCTGCCTTTTCCTTTTCACCAGAAGCGCTTTCGACTCCAACCTCTCTTTCTACAGGTCTCTTCTCCTCTCTCCTTCGAGATCCACCTCCAATGGCGATGACAATGCCGACGGAAGCACGACGCTGGATGATGAATTTCGGGAAGGAAGGGATCGAGACACCGGAGTGCCTTTGTCCCCCAAATCGGATCACGATGGTAAACCTAATCTGAATTCTTCGGAATCTCTGGTAGATGTCGACGTAAAGATCGACGGGGTTAAGGAAAACCCTAGCAAATCCAATTCCGAAAGCAAATTAGGCATTGTTGATAGTGCGATAATGAAGAAGTTGAGGAATTGCGATATTTACAAGGGGAAATGGGTGAAGGATGAAGAATATCCCCTTTACAAGCCAGGTTCATGCCCGTACGTCGACGAAGCTTTTGATTGCCAGAGCAATGGAAGACCTGACTCTGATTATCTCAAGTGGAGATGGAAAGCAGATGGATGCGATCTTCCCAGGTTTGTAATGCATATTCTATTCTGGAAATTTTTATTGGGATAAGAACACAGCTAGTTGAATTTGCAAATGGATTCTGCTCCTTCCATGGAAGCTATATAGAGTAGTAATTAATTGCAATGTTCTTCGTGCTGCATATCTTTGTTTGTGATCAATCTGATGATCAAATGTGGTAAGTAGCATTCATCATTTATTGAGAAAAATATTGTTTAATCTCGATCCCAATGTGAACATTCTTTAATTACTGCCATTGTTAAAACCTGAGAATCTCGAACAAGTTAGTTGCTACTTATATTGTTTAATCTCAAGCTTCATGATGTATTGCTTAGTTGATGAGTAAAATTGAGCTGATCATTGAAGGGAGTACACGAAAAACGTAACGATCCCTTTTTAAGTTGAGCAAAAGTGAAGAAAATGACAATTATGCTAAGTTTGAGTGTAAATTGAAGGAAAATAAATGTATGTTAAGCTTTATACATCACTTATCTGTCTGAATGTTTCAATGAGTTAAATAGAGCTTATGATGTAATGAATTTCCGATGCTAGATTACAGTTTTTTTTTTCCCTCAAATTGTTGAAATGTGTGGTCGGGACGATACTTTTAATGTGATTTTGCTCGAAGCTTTCACACTTGTGCTGCCATTTCTTGGCTGTAAGATCTGTCTTAGTCGAATCGTCAAAATAATATGCGTGGTCTAGCTTTCCCGGTGTTCTTATGGTGTTTGTTTTCGATGGTTGCAAAAATCCGTAGCTTTTTGGTCTTGTTTTTTCTTATTTCTATTGAATTTATGCAAGTTTGTTCGCTCGCTCATGTAGGTTTAATGCGACAGATTTTCTAGAAAGATTGCGAGGCAAAAAACTTATGCTTGTGGGAGACTCGATGAACCGAAACCAGTTTGAGTCTCTCCTCTGTCTTCTACGAGAAGCTCTTCCCGACAAGAGCAAAATGTACGAAATTCATGGGTATAAAATCACAAAAGGAAGAGGCTATTATGTTTTCAAATTCGAGGTAGTTATATCGAAGTCGTAGATTTATTCTTGTGGCGAACGAAGATTCGATTTAAGACGTGTTTCTGATGCAGGATTACAACTGTACAGTGGACTTTGTCCGGTCACATTTTCTCGTCCGGGAAGGGATTCGTATCAATCCGCAAGGAAATTCCAACCCGACGCTTTCCATGGACAGAATTGATAAGACAGCTAGCCGTTGGCTAAGAGCTGATATTCTTGTTTTCAACACCGGACACTGGTGGACTCATGGGAAGACTTCGAGGGGGTATGTTAGATTCGATCTTGACTCCCGATTGTGTGATATTTATTCGATTGATGTTCTTTCGACATTTTCCGGAAAGAAAGTGATAATGCAGCATTGATGCAGCAAAAACTACTATAAAGAAGGCGAGTACGTCTATCCTCGCTTCGATTCTGTTGAAGCCTACCGGAGAGCGATCAGGACGTGGGCGACATGGATCAAGCAAAACATAAATCAAGAAAAGCTCGTGTTCTATCGTGGCTACTCATCAGCACATTTCCGGTAACTGCGCTCTCGCCCTACTCCACTTTGCTTTGCTCATTCGACCTTAAAGAAACTTAGGTTTGGATGGAGAGATTTGATTTAGATTTTGTAGTAAATTATAGGCAAAATTGTTCATAATTCTTTTGTGATTTCGAAACTTAGCGTAAATTCCCCTTTATTTTAAAAATTGCATGGCGCCCCTCTCTACTTTTAAAAACGTTGCATGAAACCCTTATGTGGTTTCGAAACTCAGCGTAAATTTCTATTTTACTTTAAAAAATGTTGCATAAAACTCCGTCATGCAAAAAATATACATAGAAAATCATTTTCTCATCACATAAGGGAGGTTTCATGACAGTGGAGTTTCATGCAATATTTTTTAAAGTATAAGAGGTGCCATTACGCCGAATTTCAAATCCAGAAGTTATGAACAATTTTACCGAAATAATATTTGATCGATGCATTATGGGATGAAGATATGTATTTTGTTTTTCGAAAAATAATATTTGTATTCGTTAGGGGCGGAGATTGGGATTCGGGGGGATCGTGCAACGGGGAGACGAAGCCGGTGACGAAGGGGGCTATTCTCGAGAGTTATCCGCAAAAGATGAGGATTCTGGAGGAAGCGATCGACGAAGTAAGCGTTCCTATCGTGCTATTGAACGTAACGGGGCTAACGAATTATAGAAAAGATGGACACCCGTCGGTGTACGGAAAGAATGGGACGGATCGGGGAAAAGTGTCGAGCCGGCGGCAAGACTGTAGCCATTGGTGTCTTCCGGGCGTGCCGGACGCCTGGAATGAGCTGATATACACTACATTGGTTTCCCGGCGGCAGTTTTAGCGTCAGAGAATGGATTGGATTTGAGTACGTTTTTGTGTTTGAGTTTTGGTACATAGAAATGAAATAGATATAATAATTATTATTACGGACAATTGGGCAAAAATCTCTCTGTCCATTTATCAATTGGGATTCAGTCCCTAATGATAAAAAATTTGTCTGCACTCCCCCCTTTTTCCTTCTTCCTTCTTCTTCCTCCCTACTCGTATTTTTCTTCATTCTGTTTCTCTTCGCGCAAAAAATTCTTCTCAAGCCGTTGTCCTCTTCCGTGAGCTCGAAAGCCACATCCCGCACAGGTAAGGTTTTTAATTGTTCGCCCGATTTTACATTGCCGCTTCTTGTCTGGTTCGATTGAAAAATTTTCTAGGGCACTCTCCGAATCCTGTTCCGGTTCCCTGTCGTCGGCGGTCGGTTGATTCGGTCGAAGAACTACCGAAGGCTGTCACCAGTTCCCTAGCCCGTATTTCTTGTTCTCCGGTGAAATTAGATGTACCAGGTGTGTTTTTGTGTCGGTTGATTCGGTCGAAGAACTACCGAAGGCTGTCACCGGTTCCCTGGCTCGTCTTTCTTGTTCTCCGGCGAAATTAGATGTACCAGGTGTATTTTTGTATCGATATCTTAGTTGGAAAATTATTATTTGGAAGAAAATGTTTGGATATTATTTTGGGTGATTTTGATAATAAATTTTGTTGTTATTTAGGGTTTAAGGGTAATATTTTATTTTGTGAAATGGGTAATTTGTTGCTATTGAGGATCAAGACATTACTAGAATTCCGTAAGAACATATGATTTTAGTGTATTTTGTGTAAGATTATCTAATCGCCCATACGACCTAATATAGTTCATACATTCATTGGTTGGATCGTTAGGTTCCGATGGACATGGAGCAAAGTAGTCTGAAATTATTAATTATATGTTCCTACGAAGGTGAGCATCATGTAATTCGTTTAGAAGAGGGCACGACGCTGGAGGATCTTTACCGGAATATATCGAAAAGATGGAATAAAGTGAGTATTGAGGCGGTAAAACTCCAATATATTGCACCTATTCAGAAAAGCTACGTGACGTTATTGTGTGACGATGATGTCGCCAATATGTGGAGAATGCATATCTTGTTAAAGGTAATGTTTGTGGATATGATTGCACGGTGTAGAAGCGAGCACCAGAGCGTGCCTCTCCGAAGCACGGTTGGACGCAGGTACGTTACTCATCGTTTGTAATTAAGTAGTCTTTATTAAACTTTGTTATAGAATGCAGTCTCAATTGTTCCTTATGAAAGAATGCAGTCTGTAAGCACTTATAATGCAGTATGTAAGAATGCAGTCTGTAAGCACTTATAATGTCATGTTCAACACATCTAAAAACATATCGTTTATAGGTTACGTTAATAATTCTTTCATGAAATTGGCATACAACAATACCGTGGTATATTGTTGCGATGTTGTTTGTAGGTAGTAAGTATCCACCTCCGCGATTTTGTAGTAGCGCGGTGCAGAACGAACCACTGAAGAGATTGTAAAGATATGTAGTGGGGATATAACGTCTTGAAGGTATTTAACGATTTTCACTCCTTCTGTACACGCCACTGTCAATATCCTCTAGCAATCCGGTTTAGGTAGGTGTACCATGATCGATGCGTTGAAATTTCTGTAGCCCATGGCATTTACTGCATCATGTAGCCTGCTGCGGTGAATAGATGCAGTTGTTGTTTTAAATACCCTGGATGACACGGTAGGTAACCATAGACACCGTGGACATACTCGGTTGAGTAAGATGGGTACCCATGTTTTTCTATTTACGAAGAAAATATCTATTACCATATAAAATTAGAACTACTTACATCTGATATAATTTTCATTCTTATTATTGTATTTGTAATGTAGGGGTGAGGCCGAATGTTCGGGATTGAACGAAGATTGCGCAGATGGTATCTTTATTCCCGACGAAAGTACTAGTCTAATTGCAATGCAGAGATGCATTGTCGGGGAAGGTCAGACATTCAAGGGACCGCAGGAGTTTAGAAAGTTACTAAAGAATTATTCTATTGCCACTCAGAAACACTTCAGGTACCAAAAGAATGATTCGAGCAAAATTATTGCGGTGTGCATCGACAAAGGCTGTGGTTGGCGTATTTATGCATCCTTCCATGCTCGTGATGCATCATTCAGCATTCGTACGTGCAATTTACATCACACATGTACTATGAGTCTATTGCAATCAAGAGATCATCCAGCAGCCGATGCGAACTGGATTTCTGAGGTCTACAAAGATAAGATACGTTCTATGCCAGCGTATAAGGCATCCGACATCCGGGAGCATATCCAAACAGATTATGGGATTGACGTGAAATATCATAAAGCATGGCGTGGCAAGGAGAATGCGATAAGGGCAATTAATGGTGGAGGTAGAGACAGTTTCTCACAACTTCCGTGGTACTGTCATGCACTTCGGGAGTCAAATCCGGGAAGTATTATAGATTGCGAAGTTGAGCAGGCAACCAAACGTTTCCAGCGCCTTTTTGTTTGTTTAGGTGCATGCCGGCTGGGTTTTTTGAGGGGTTGCAGGCCCCTACTCTTTCTTGATGGGACACATATAAAAAACAAACACAAAGGGTGTCTGCTAAGTGCAATTGCAGTGGATGGGGATGATGGGATGTTTACTTTAGCATTTTCTGGTACGTAATTTGATATTAGCTACAGTTGTCATTTTGTTAGAATGCTGGGTATAGCTGTTCGTGTATGCTGTTTTTCATGCTCTCTTTAGGCACGTATGTACCCTTATACGTTGGAAACCTTTGTAGTTATTTGTGTTCTTATTTGTTGACTTGCAGCTGTGTCTACGGAAAATGATGAAAATTGGGAGTGGTTTTGTTGGAAGCTGCGATCCGTTTTAGAATGTGAGGGACGTACGGATTGGAAACAATACACATTCTTCTCGGATCGGCACTCGGGTTTACTAAAGTCAATCTCGTTCGTCTTTCCCGGAGCACATCATGCGTACTGTCTCCGACACTTAGTGGACAACTTCCGTACCCAGGTATATGTACGTCAATATTAATTTGTAATGAACATCACTGGTTATGATCAGCCAAAAAATGTCTTTTTTTAGGTTATGCGGAGATACCCAATGCATAATAAGAAACGATGGACCGCTGTCTTCAATAAGGCCGCCTATGCTCCGTTGAGGAGAGATTTCGAAAACCACATTAGTTCTGTGGTCGAATCAATGCCATTGGCCAGGGACTTCATTACCCAATCACACCCAGAATGTTGGGCAAATTCACTATTCAGAGGCACTCGTTGGGGAATAATAAATAATAACATTGCTGAGTCATGGAATAGTTGGGTGAGATCCGCGAGATCAATGCCATTCGTTGGGATGTTGGATACCATTAGAAGGCAAGTGATGGTAATGATGAATGAACGCCGCGAAAAGTCAGAGATAATGCACGGAAGGCTTTGTCCAAAACAGGAGAGCAAGTTGGCACTATCGTACATGGCGTCTCGACGGCTACAGTGCAGTTCATCCTCTAGAACTGTATTCGAGGTAACAGATTGTAATGAAAGATACGCAGTCGATTTGGAGGTGCGCAAATGCTCTTGTCGAGAATGGCAAATGTTCATATTGCCCTGCAAGCATGCCTGCGCTTGCATTGAAAAATGCAGTATGTCAATTTATGATTTTTGCGATCTTTACTACAACATTGAATGCTATAGAAAAATGTACCAGGAGCCAATAAATCCCGTACCGACGCATGATATGGACGTGATTGTTGAAATTCAGGCGGACCAAATTCACCCTCCTCCGTCGTCTGTCCAACCAAGCCGGCCAAAGAAGCGAAGGTTCGAGTCCCAGCAGGTAAAGAATCCACGAAAATGTGGTCGTTGTGGGCGTCTTGGACATAATAGAAGAAGTTGCAAGCAACAAATAGATTAGCGAACTTTTTTTTCATTGTACATCTTTTTGGCTTCCAGGAGTATATATTAAGACAGTAGGTACGTATTCAATAGCTATATTGTAATTGTTTTTTGTGTCTTTAGGATGTAACCGGTTGGATCCACCGACTTATTTGCAGTAGTAAGTGGTATGTAGCCCTCTCACGCAGGTATATGATGAAGTTGTGAAGGTTCATAGTTATATTCTGCAGGTATATTTTTCATGTACTGAGGCATTTGATGATGTAGCTCTGTAGGGACAGATGGTTAATGTAATATCTAATTGTTTTGAAAGTACATGCTATCCTATTTTTGGGTTATTACTAGGAGGTATAGTTGTTGTATTAAACTCGTCATACTAACCAAGTGCATATGTCATACAACTTAAGTATTTGTTGATGCCTTCTTTAACCATCAGCAGTAAGTACATGCTATTCGAAGTAAAAAACAAAAAAAGACCGTTTCCCCAGCCACAGGTAACCAGGGCATACATAATTGCAACTGAAGTATAATGTCACGGTTGTTGTAAGTACGCAATAGCTTACAGACGGTATATGAATAATGATTCCAACATATAGGGTTGCGGTCCGAGTACAAACCATATTTTATTTTGTTTATACGGTATTTAAATTGTATTACCGTGTAATAACTTGGAGGCGTAGTATTGATTAAAATTCAGCACACAGCTACGTACCAGACTTCCATATGCTACACAACTATATTGTGGTTATATTATCGTGTCTATTCTATTGTATTCTAATTCAATTAACGGGTAAGCAATGTAAGTTTTATCTGTGGCCTAAAACACGCCATTCAAGATTATGGGGTTGATGAGAAACACTACCATGGTTAAGCCAATACACTCTTACCATCATTTCGTGAATATTTTAAGAGAAAAGGCCAAGTCCCCACCCGTAGGGTACCAGAGCATTTGAAATGGTAACAGAAGTATAAAGACTATTTCCGTAGGTACATAATAGATACTATAGGGTATTCGTAGTAACGACTCCGTTACTTATGCATCTGAGCTGAGTACCGGAGTCGATGAACGAGGTACACAGATTGCGTATGCGGGTATCTGTGTTGTAGTTGTAGGTATCCTAGTTGTAGGTATAGTAGCACTTATCTGTAACCACGTGTTGCTTAGCATTCCGCAGGAAATAGTTGATTGTAATCTAGACGTTGGCCCACACGCAATTACCAGACACCTATGTCCCGCACAAATATTTTGTTGTAATATTATCATGTTTTTTTAGTACTGTTTGTTTTAAATTAACGAGTAAGCCCTTGCAGTATCTCCGGTCGATTAAAACATAGCGTCCAGTAGGGTTTTATGAGAAACGCCGACACGGTTGAACTGATTCAAAGTGAACGCTATTTCAGTGATCAGTGCAAAGGAAATGACCAGTCCCACAAACGCAAGTGACTGGAGCATGTAATATATAAATGGAGTACATACTAGTTTTCCGTAGGCACATAAAAGCTATCAACGGGTATCACCACACAACGCAGGTATATAATGAAGATGACAAATCAATCCACATAAAAGACATTTACCAATTCCATCACCTCGATACACAATGCAATAACTTCCAGATCAATCCAAATTGAAGACATTAAACAAATCCATCACCTCCACACAACACAATAACTTCCCAGATCAATCCAAACTGAAGACATTCAACAAATCCATCACCTCGCCACATAACGCAAAAACTTCCCAAATCAAT